ATATGTTTATACACACACAGAGTGACATTTCTAATGAAAACAAATGCTCAAGAAATGAGGAAATAACCCCTTTACAATTATTGTAATTAAGACCAAAGTATAGGTACATCTTTCAAAGAAAATAAAACACTAAACACCATGTAATCTGGCTACTGGTAACTGGAGTTTCTAGGATAAAACAATGGTAACTCACAGAAAAACTATTTTGTTTATTTATTTAACAAAAATTTCATCTTTGCATATGAAAATTATTCACCAATATTCCCTGGAAATATTATCTGGAAAAGACAGTGCAAAGGTAGAAAAAGCAGAGGATTTGGAATAAAGAAGACTCGCGTTCTTGCCCTCTTCTGCTGCGCACACACTTGTTATCTGAGCATATGTCACTGACTCTCTGGGCCACAGCTTCCTCAGGATTTCTTATNTATACAAACACTCTATACACTATGAAATGTCATATAAATGTTACATGTATATAATCATTACAACCAAATTAAAAATGGCTAATATAAAAAAGGTGTGTGTGTGACAGAGTTTGTGTGTTTATGTGTTTAATCCAAGAACATTCACCCATTTTCTCTTACTCCCTTTTCCAACACTCCCAGCGGCTAATAAATTACACAGCTCGATTATAATACAAATGAGATTCCAGTTGCTATCAGAGCAATTACATCATAGAGCCATATACCTACCATATCTTGAATCCTCCAATTTATTCAAATTGAAGAATTTCTTTCCTGGTTGTGTAGGATCCAATGGCTCAGCAAGGTGGGTGAATGGGTTGCTCATGATTACTGATGGCCTTGTGTCCCTGAAAAGGAAAGAGAACATTTCATTCCTACTTTTTTTTTTTTTTTNCTATCCAGTGCGCCACCGGGCTGGCCCTCATTCCTACTTTTGAAGCTGGACCTCATTCACCCTGATAAGCGTTTGCCCTTTTTATCAATTTCAGTATATATTCACTGAAAGAAGTTGCTTATTATATTTTAAAAGTAGGGGGATGGTGGGACATAAACGAATACAAGAATGATATTCTTAGCAAATAAGACGGGCTTCTGTGAAGCTACTGTGAAAGCTGGCATTCACCGCTCAAGAGAGCATAAAACCCCAAATTTCTTTTGTCTTATTTCTACAACTTCCCAGCATTCTTCCACTGAAGAGTACATCTCACCGTAAATCCTGAATATATGAACAGACCTCTAAGATGGACTCATGTCCTGCTTGGCAGGAGGTAAGAAGTCCATATCAAGTGACATGTGATTGTATGAAACTTGCACTTTCAAAGTTAGGACTTGAGAGAAGTAGTTTTCTAGTACTGTCCTGTGAATTGCCAGTTGTAACAATCTCTGTAGCATTTTTAATAAACTTGAACACCATAGTTAGAATACTCCCTAATTTGCTTTTGCATATTGTGGCAACAGCATATTAACATTAGGGAATTTTTAAAGTACATTATGGTGGCATAAAGGCCCAAACTCCTCAGAAATGCTTGGAGGGGACCCTCTCTGCCCCAGCTCTGGGCAGGACTTCTCATGTATCTTTTTACAAATTACAGGCAGTGAACAAGAGAAGACACTATTCCTGGCCTCCACCACACAGATGAACAGTGATTTCAAAGAACTTTACATAACTTAGAGCAAAACACACTGGGGTGGGAGTCAGAAGACTTGCTTTCTGGTCCTACTTCTTGGGCAAAAATCCTTTAATCAATCCATTCTGCAATATTCTTAATTTTAAGAGAAGAACAGTTAACATTTCCCTACTCAATCCCAGGGTTTTTTTATGAGTAAATATTATTTAAATATTCAACATATTAATGGAATGACTGATATGGAATGATCAATATATTACCATAAAATGAAAAGCACTGTGTATAGAAAAAGGATAAAAAGTTAGAAGTGTGCCTTGTGTATAGCACTGTGTATAGAAAAAGGATAAAAAGTTAGAAGTGTGCCTTGTCTCTACGGACAGGAC